GTATCCATCTAATTTATATTTTATTTGTGTTAATTGGTTAAGTTCATGTATGTTGTTTTTTTAATTTTGGGGGGGGGGTGGAAGTAGAATTTCATTCAAAGTAACAGGAATTACATCAGTGGGTAAAATCCCCAGCAGAATGGCTAGCTAAGTAAAACGTAAGAGCAAAACCTGCGAAAATGGAATAGCCGTCTCTTGTTTATTCTGATGTTTTTTTTTAAATTAATGTGCAAGTGAATGACATCGATAGTAGAATTCGGAATGTAAATAAAAGCCAGTTTGTAGTGTAGCAGTAAATGACAGAGCTGGGTAAGCTGTGAATATAATATCAGTAGGTGTCCAATGAACTCGTAGGTGTCATTATTCGTTACCTACTAGAACGATATCGCGTTTGCTGATTGTACTCGTGTGTTCTGTCAGTGACACAGCTTTACATTCAAAACAAAAATGTGGACATGTATAAATATGGTGAATTCAAAAGTTGAGTAGATTCAGTGTAGAAAACAGGGGACCATCATCAGAGAGCATAATATAAGGGACCAACAGAGCATAACTCTTTTTTTGGAGTTATAAGGTGAAACCTAGCATGGCCACAGCCTACAGTGGAAGATGATGTCCCATTAATTAGTTATTTGGTGGCCTCCACTCACTGTCATAAATTTGGTTAGCTCTTCAATTCCTTCCATTTCATCTTTCTCCACTAACTCACATTGTTACCATCCGTTCACTCTACCTAACAATTTCTATTCATTTCTACAAAACAGGGGGAAAGAACTATTTCCATTCAATCCCCTATAACTGACAATCACATGTAAATTTAAGCACTGAGATGCTTTTAACTATTTTTCTTGGGAAAAAAAATATTTTAGCTGCTCGAATTTGTTCCATCACGTGGTTCTCTTCGAGTTTTCTAAAGATAACCTTAAAATTGCATGGATATTAAGATAAATAGCATTATTTTCAGCTTGCATGACACACTAGTTTTTTGTTAAAAAGTGTTCTAAATTTCACCTTAAAATTGCATGGATATTACAACAACAACAACAACAAGCCTTATCACACTAGGTGGGGTCGGCTACATGGATTGCAAGACGCTATTGTGCTCTATCATTTATTAAGCTTTTAGAAATATTATTAATTAAGAGATCACGTTCAACAACTTCCAAGAGTGTTCTCTTAGGCCTTCCTCTACCTCTCTTAATCAGACTCAAAGTTATATGTTCCACTCTTTTCACTGGTGCCTCCCTTGGTCTTCTTTGTACATGCCCAAACCATCTCAACCGATTTTCTACCATTTTTCCTCAATAGGTGCCACCCTCACTTTTTCACGTATGTGCTCATTTCGAATTTATCTTTACGTGTATGTCCGCACATCCATCGTAACATTCTCATCTCTGCTATTCCAACTTTATGCTCTTGCTGTCCCGTTAGAGCCCAGCATTCACTACTATATAACATTGCCGGTCTGATAGCAGTACGATAAAACTTTCCTTTAATTTTATTAGGCACCTTATGGTCACAAATAACTCCTTTAGCTTTTCTCCAATAAAATTGCATGGATATTAAAACGAAAGAATTTAAAATCTGTGCCGTTTCACCCCAAAAAAAAACCTGTACCAAATTTGGTCCCCCTACCAGAATTTAAAGCCTTTGTTTCACTGCCATATGTCTGAGCCCAAAACTAAAAGCCCAATTATAAAGTCAGTAGACTGTAGTTCTCAGAACATTTTTATTGACCAGTTAGTTCTCAGAACATTGAGTAGACCCTTTTTCATGTTATCTCGTTCCCTCACGTTCCCTTTGGAATCAACACACTCTGAACAGTCTAGCCATCGCCAAGGCCCTTACAACATTTCTAATGACATGTTTCAAAATTTTGAATAACTTGGGGTCCAGAATGTGATAGAATAATAACATTTGAAGTTCTCTCTCTTTGTCAAAATGAGAAGGTGGCTTGGCAACCTATTCCGTAACAAGAAGCCATCAAGTTGGCATGAGTACTTTATATTGTAGAGAACTGTTGGCAAGCTTATTCTGCTTGATGGTAACTTGTGTGGAGACTGAGAGTGCCCCTAGAAAGCAGCAGACTTTTTTGGAGAATTTGCCACTTTTATTCTGTTCCTTGTGGAATAAGCCTAGGGCAGCGGGTTGGCCAACTGTTTTTCTGTGCACTCTTATTTGCTGTTGCTGGCTTGTTTTCAATGAATGAATATTCTATAGGCAAAGAAAACCAAGAAAAAACGGGAAAAAAAGATTTGAGGTACCAACATAAATGACATGAGTCACGTTCTATCTTCCATCTTAAGGAATCTATAAATTCCTAGAGTATTCATCACACTGCTTATGACAGAAGAATGGGGTTGGATTGCATCTTTGCCTTCTCTTTCCTACCTCTTTCAAAACTATCATAATTCATAACATACCCACGTGTATGGCTCACCTCTTCCACTCAAATTTAAACATAAGAGCCTGTTTAGTTCTGTCAAAACTTGTATATTTGATATTAGCAGAAAACAGAGAAGTGGCGAACTTGATGATTAATTGTGTAAAGCCTGAGGGAGAAAGTATTTGTTTTTTGGTTGCATGAAACCTTAATTTAACCGAATGTTGGATCCTTGTTGGCATGATCAAACCAAATATACCAATAGAACAAAGCAAAGATGACGTACCCTGATTGCTTTTATTCCTACGATTCTATGAAACAAAAAATGGCCACATGAGAAAAGCTTCTCCTAATCAAATGTAATAAATATAAATTAGCAATCATCAAATGCCAGGCTAGGTGAAGGTCAGAAATCGACCACCTTTGCTTTACAAAAATGATGAAAAGTGGTAGAGCTTTATATACGACCTCCCCCATTTTTCACCCCAGCCAAGGAAAGAGCCAGGCTTGATGGTCTAATAGGTAACCTAGCATGTTCATGCTAGGGCAAATGAAGGATGTGGAGGGAATTTTTGGCCCTAAAAAAGAAAGAAAGAAAGAAACACAGAGGATATGAAGGGAATATCCAAATGCTTGGATATTGGCACTTCTATAAGAAGGTCTCCCGTTCAAATTTTCAGATTTGAACGAGTAGGTAGAGTATATGGCTATGGGTTAATAATTTCTTGTAGATTGCGGGAGCTGGTGAGCGTGAGATAATTTTATATAGTTCTGAATTGAGGACAAGCTCCGTGTTTGAACTTCATGCAGATGAAACCTCACATTATGTGGCAAATTGCAGAAAAGCATAGGAAAGGAAGAGCATTTGTGCTTTTGCGTTGGAAAACCATTTAAAGGTTACATGTAAATACCATAAAATATTGAACAGGAAAAGGCACATAACTATTCCTGCGATTTTTGTGCATATAAATAGGGCCCACCAGTCAACGGTTTGAGTGTCAAATACCTGTGTTTCATGTTACACATTTCTCATCACCCTTCCACTTCCCGACCAAAAACATGGCAACGGAAGTGGACTTAAAAAGTTCTGGTGAGTATCAATTTTTCATTCAATCTCTTTTTATAGACTCGCTAATTTCATTCTTATTTTTCTTTCGTCCATTTCATATTCTCATTTGACATCTATATAGTGGAACTGAAAAAAAAAAATCTTCATTCCTTCATCTCAGAAGATTGAGTTGAAGGTGTCTGCTAACTGCTGTGAAGGATGTGAGAAGAAAGTTAAGAAGGCGTTAAGGGTATAGAAGGTAATAACTACTAAAACTTTCTGAATGAATCAAAGAAAAATCGTCCCTTGTTATGTTCTCTGTTTTGTCTGCTGCTGCCGCTAACGGGCATGGTGGACACTGTCAGGGATCTTGAAGACGGATATAGACCCTTGGCGGCCCAAAGTGACAGTTTTAGGGAATGTGGATCCACAGATATTAATTAAAAGGCTGTTAAAAGTTGGAAAGCATGCAGAACTTGACGGCTTTGAGGAACTCAAAGCCAGTAAGAAAGAAGCAGAAACAATTGCAGTAGCAAGAGGAAAGGAAAAGGAGAAGCATCCTGATGAATATGAGCATAAAACTCAGAAGGATGAGGACATTAGAGGAGGTGGGGCTTATAGAAGCAAGAATAAATATAATAACAATGACTCTTGCAAGACTCCAAATGCTTCTAATCCTCCTCTGGATTTGAAGAAGGGAAACACTCTGACGGTTCAACAAGGGGTGGATCTCACATTTAATCCTCCTCAAGACTTGAAAGAAATTTCTCAGACGCCTCACCCATACAATGAAATTAAATTTGATAATCAGCTCTGTTATATTGCGCAGCCATGGACAGCCAACGCACCTTACTGTGCAATAGCTTCATCCGCAGCTGCTTCTCAGCTTCCAACTAGCGTCCAAGTGCATTACCACTACGACAAGCCCACATATCAGCCACCATTTTTAAGACCAACGGCGCGAGTAGATGACTACCTCAGTGACGACAACGCCGTGGGGTGTAATGTGATGTGAGCTCCAGAGCAATCAAATGATTCCTTTCTTGTTTAGTCCATTATTTCTTAATCATTGCTTTAAGGAAATTGGCATAATCAATTTTGTAGTCTATGCTATAAAGTTTGGCTCTTTCCCATCGGCAAGGATAAATAATAGTCGTAAGAAGCATTGGGCCTACGAAAAGTTTGATAACGGAGCGACGCTTGTGTTCCTTCATTGACGCGCTGGGGGTTATCAACTAGCCACTGATTTGGACTTCACAGCCAGCCGGAAGTTACGTGGACAAGAAACTGTGCTATCACAACCTGCCCATACCCTCTTCGAGAAGCTGCCATCAGCGGGCGTCATCTGAAAATTGTGCATTATTTTTAGCGTATTTTGCTTTGTGATGAATCCTCTCTTTCGATATCCTTTATTGTGCTGTTAATTTTTGGGATGATATGTTCTTGTCAATATGCTTAGGTGAGTGTTTGCTTACACCAGTTAATCCCCTTCATTTATGCTGGTTTAGAGACAACAATTCTTTTCGGATTATGAAACTGTTTCCCGACGGCAACTTATTCATCACCAAATGATCACAATGCCAGAGTTAAAATATGGATAATAAAACATGTACACACAAGAAGATTATCCATGTCTCACAGTTATTAACAACCTGGGAAAACACGAGGCCACCTTCGTGGCACTGGCTTATGCGCCCTTTAGGACTCCAGAAGGATAAAATTAACTACCCCTATTTTGTTGCATATCTACTGAACTGAAAATAAATGACAAGGTTCATTGTTCATACAAGTGGCACGGCATCAGAGACAAATTATCACCATTCCACCCAATAGGGGTCAACTGTGCTGACGACTGGGTGTAAAACAGTAAACCTGAATTTTGCAAAGTATCTTAAATGTGGCGATTTCAACCTTGGTGACAGGTGAATGGATGGCTATGTCAGGAAAATATCAAATTTCATACCCTTAGGATCTGAAGCTTGGTGGAGAAAGCAATCGCAACCCAGTCCGGCTGAGACGACGACCATTGAAGCTGCTCAATCTCTGCCCCGGCAGTATAGGCTAAGATAGGATCCAATCCTCCTTCCACCGGCTGACCCATGGAGGATAGGTCCCAAATTAGCGCCTGAGAGTCATCCCCGGCGGTGCATATATGGCACGAACTATGCGGCGCCCAGGCAATCGCATTCACGCTCGCCTGGTGCCTCTGCAACTCCACCACCGGAAGCGTAGGGAAACGAATATCAAGGATGACGACCTTGGCACTGTCCATGATGATTGTGGCCATGTACCTCGGGTCCTGCTTATTCCACCCGAGTCGAACCAGGGGCGTGTCCGGCTCGGAGCTCTCGTAGATTATAGTAGAATGCTCCTTATCGCGCAAATCGAAAACCCTAACGGATCCATCGGCGGAGACGGAGGCGAAGACCCCAACGCCACCCCAAGCGATGTCGTAAACATCCTTATCATGGGCAATGAGCTGCGTGTCCACGGCCTCCTTCTCGATATCCCAAATTGTGCAGGTTTTATCAATGCTGGAAGTGCCGATACGCTTGGGCTCCGCCTCGTTCCAGTCGAAAGAGGTGAGAGGGCCGCAGAACTCACTGTTTTGGTTGCCATTGAGGAGGCTCTTGAGCTCGACCCGCTGGGCGGGATTATCATCGGGGTCGGAAAGGCGCCAGACTCGGAGAAAGTCGCTGGAGGTGGCGAGGAGGTCGGGTCTCTGGCACTCCTTGTCCGGGATGAATATGACCTTGGTAGGAGGGTAAGGGTGCTCAAAGGAGAGAGAAGGATCGGAGCGAATCTCGCCGTTGATGTCGTCGAGCTGAACAATTTCAACGCGGTTGGGGCAATGCTCGAGCAAACTGGCGATGGCGAGGCGATACTTCTTGTCGCGACGGACACTCCAGTTCATGGCGTAGATGTGCCAGGGAGCTTCATAAGTATAAATCTCAGAGCGCTTCTGGTGGTCATCGGAGCCATCCTGAGTGGGATCGCTGCTGCTCGCTCCCATGTGGCCGTGGATTTTGGGTCGGAGGAGGAAGGGGCGGCAGCTGAGAACGAGAACAAAAGGATATGATACCGTATCGCACTGGGACAGGACAAAAGGGGATTGCAGCCAACGAGAAGGCTAATCCGAATTCCCCGGCCCGAACGGGAAAGACTTTGAGATCGAGCAGAGCAGAGGAGGGACCCACAACACTTTATGCGGGGCCCTCCCTTCTGGATTAGGCATCGCACACCATTTGGATAACGTATAAAGTATGAATGCTCCCCAAATCCATCGCTCCTTTTCCTTGCCATACTATATTGTAGAACTAGAAACACGAGGTATTGGATTGCTTACTTGGCCAGTGGTCGAGTGAGCCCGTGACAAGTTTTTTTCCCGAGCAAATCACCCGCTATTCAAACCAATAACTCTGATTTAATTCCAATTCGAGTCTGTCATTTCTAGGCCTTGTCTCTCTCAAGCGCATCACCTACATTATCATCGCTTCAAGGATCAAATCTAGGACGGATGGTTAAGGGACTCACACCACTTCTTTATGAACCACCATGCTTTGGTATGACAAGTTCTCTCTTGTTTAGGCAATTCATCTATATAGCCCATCGCTTTGCACTAATTTTATGAGATTTATTCGGTGATCCTATATGTAATTTTCATGTATATGATTCCCAGCGCAGGAAACAAAATTTTTATTTTCTTCAGACAGAGTGATTCATCATTCCTATGATATGGGAATTGATGAGTGAAGAGATGGAAATTGAACCTGTTCCTACCTGCGAGCAGGGTGCTGGGTGCTGGGTGCGGCAATTATAGTATCTTATCCATTTTCTAAAAATAGTCATCCATATAATTTGAAGTATTTATTTTCTATGGCCATGGGGTAGTGCTGGCTGCTGTATTTTAATCATTATATCGATTTTTAATCCTCGTGATTGCTGACATCATTCCGTGTATCTTGGCTAAGCAATGAATGCACACTATAATAATGGAGCGCTATGTTGGCTTACTATTGATCTATTTTCCTCAATCGATTCACTCTTGCTGGATGAATAACAGTTTCATGTGCTTTTGACAAATGAGCGCTCAAACGCTGTGTTGTATAATTATTATATTACGCTAATATTGAATACCAGCTAATACAAAATAGAGGGACAATTTTACCCCCTTCATTATTGCCCTTCGTCCTTCCTCCTCCATCTTCGTCGTACCAGCAAAATCTACAACATGTCCTCCTCACCATCCTACCATAATCAGGTTCGTTCCCCCAAAAAAAAAAGGGCGGGAAAGAAAGAAACAGACCTGATACAAAGCAAGAAGATCTGTGGAAAACAGCGAGAAGACAAACGGGCAAGAGAGGTCACTGACTTGGCTATGCGAATGATTGGAGAAGACATGATCGACTGAAAACCAAACCCCCCCGATCCTCCTCCTTTCCCGGCATCTATGAACAATATCGCGAGGTTGAAGAGGGTGGATGACAGAGACGGTGACAGCAGCTAAGGAAGGGCACGGTCCGCGAGGCACATCAGGGGTAGAGGAGGAGGTTGAGGATGCCGATAACAAAAGGCTGTGACGTGGATAGAGGGTAAATATGTCTAGAGGTGGATTCATGGCAGTAGTAATCCCCATTACATAGGTTTTTCATTGTCATGGGGATGCACTTGTTTGGCATAATCTAGATTACAAAGGCAAAGGTAAAAGGGCAACCAAACAACATTAACCATTAAAATGAATCAGAATTACGAAGAATCCTCATTCTGAGAATCCAACCAAACGGGCCACTATTGTTCTTGATTTATCTGGGATAGAATGGGAAACTATTATGCGCTTTTCATGGAAGAGATAACGCATGAACACGTGCTATAAAATAAACATTTTATTGTTAAATTAAATTAGATGAATAATATGAATTTATTACAAATGGACAGTCAAATCATTAAATTAAATAAGTGGGGAACTAGCTACATTTTTTCCTGTGAAGCAGCCAATATATGAATATATTGAGAGATGTATATATGAATACATGAAGTGACTGGGTTGCTAGGCCCCCAATCCCTCTGTTTAAATGTTTGGAGATTGATTGATCTTTTTTCCAGGGATTCTGGATACTCTTTTGTCTCTCGTTTTTGCTTTGCCGTGTTTTTTGTTGAGCTCTGATGCTTATTTAATGGAATCTCACTTCCGTTGCCGAAAAAAGAATACATGAAGTGGCCAAAATACTTTTTATGCTTGATAGTTGTCCAATTCCATGTGGAAGGCAATGGCTTCGACGTGTGTGATGATCCCTTAGTATAATTTATATTACTGGAAAATGTTAAAACGTTAAAAAATGTCTTTACACATTTATCTTCGTCTTTTATATCACCAATTTGGTAAAAACTTTGCACTCAGGAATACATTATAAAATATTACTGTAGAAAAGCTTTGCACTCGCTGGTCCAGCCCGACTAAACTTGGGCCAGTACGGACCCATGTGGCTTTTAGAGATCAATTGGTATATTTTTAAAGTCCCTTAACCGTTTTCGGCCCCAGTTTCAGAAGCCCATTAAGTTTTAGTGGCAAAGATTGATTAAAAAAATGAAGAGCTCATTTCCGGCCAAAATATTAAAAAAAAAAAAAACAAAACGCCGAGAACGATGGGCTGATGGCTGGAAATTTGGCTGGGAAGCGTAGTGCCAGAGCCGAACAGTGTTATTTCTATATTTTAGGACTCACGGATGTAACAGTAATTAAGACGTCTCTTTTAAGTTTTCGTGACGATGTACGGGAAAAACATTAACTTTTGCTATGATAAAAGTTAATATTAGTTGTTTGATTTTGAAAGAGAAAATATATGACACTTTGTAACCACTTTAAACAATACTGCATAAAAACGAAAGTAAAGATACTTTCAGGAATTTAACTATTAGTTTTTTTAATACAATTACTGGTAACAAAGTTCTCCCAATAAGTATTATTGATGTAGTGAGTGTCCTCCCCAGCTTAAAATTTAGGTGTCATTATATCAATTTTAAAAATCATCCTTATTATTAAGATGTTATGGGTACAAATTTTTGTTTAAAATTTTGAATTGCCAATTCAAACCTGAGATTTCTTTTAAATGAGAAATGTAACGTTGCTACTAGGATAGCTATTCGTTAACTATTTATCAATACAATTTCTTAGACAATAACATATATAAAGTAGTATTATTATTTTTTGGATCTGAAATACCTCGTATTATTGAAATAACAAAGCAAAAAAGTAATGAAGCATACAAACAATACGAAACAGCAAAAACCAACAAAGAAAGCTATTAAGTCAAACTAAAAAACATCAACCAACTCTTGATCTGTAGGCTGGAGAGATGGTATCAAATGTACACCTATAGCATCCATGGCACTAGAGATTAGACAAGAGAACAAAGAGAGTAATGGTGATTCCACTTAACCAATCGAGTATACTCCTTTAAGAGCATCAGCTGCTAGAAGATATGCAGCATGATTACCCACACGGAGAGTGAAAAGAAATGACACTCCAAACTTTGACGCCAAAAGATTAAGAGTTTCCAAAATAATCTTACAACATCTCCAATCATATTGATCGGGGTAATTATCCGCAATACTTTTAACAAGTAAGAAGGAGCTAGTTTCTAATATAACATTATTGTTACCAAGATCAATGGCAAGCATCAATGCCCTTTTAGGAGCTAGGGCCTCCGTCATAAAAGCAGAGATAAACTTGACTTTGTTCACAAAATCCCAACTAAAATTTCCAACCCAATCTCAATAGATAATTCCTACAAAAAATCTCGTTTAAGGCCTAGAACACAAAAATTTATATTGAGAACCTAATAGAATTTGAAAATATACTGCAAGCTCAAGGACCTTTCTTGCAAATTTTATTATAAATGAAAAGACACATTTGCCCTAGTCTCAAGGGAATGTCCATGTATATACAACACGATAATTACGAACCATCAACACAATATTCATGAATACACAATACATTTGGTGAATGTTAACTTGAAGTATATTGTTTCAGTGAAAGTATATTGTTCATTATAGACTTTGTGCTGTACAAATGTTGCAAGTTTACGTATGTTTACTATGTTGAGAATTGATGAACATTGTGTTGATTATCCTTTGCTTACTTATACATTTTACTTAAGGTTAAATTATGTCTACAAGATGTGTCATGCATTCATGAATATTGGGATGAAGAGTCCTAGATATCACGTTGTGCATACATGAACATTATGTTGAGACAAGGGTAAATGTGTCTTTTCATCCACAATAAAATTTGCTAGAGGGGCCCTTAGGTCAATAGTGCTTTTTCAAATTCTGTTAGGCCATAAATGCAAATTTTTGTGTTTTGGGGGCTGTAAGTGAGATTCTCCGTAATTCCTATAACTACCTCTCCAGTCTCGTCCTTGCATATTCCATCACAATTGACCTTAAGCAAGCCATCAGGTAGAGGTTTCCAAACAATCTAAAGTGATAGAGGGATATTCTTAGCAACAGAATTAGGATTGTCAACATAGCTAATCCATAATTCAAAATGACATGACTTGGATTTTTCAATGATTTTTAGAAGGATTCGATACTATATGATTAAACACCATATTGTTCATTGCCTTTCAAATCAACTATAAAATTCAGGAAATAAAAGCTATATCATAGTTAAGAAAATTTCCAGTAGACATAATAGAAATCTATCAAGACTTAAACCTTTAAATAATAAGCTTATAAAAATTGAGGCCCAAATTACAATCAAACCAAACATATTTGATCCAGAGTAGAAGAAAAATTAATATTCAATTGTTTCTTCCTTTCTATGGCATGAAGAATGAGAATTGACTTCTCTCCACTAACCTTCCACTCCAATTCCTCTCCACTAACTAAAATGAAATTTGAACCATCCAAATTTGATACAAGCTAAATTTGGATGGTCTATAGTTAAAGTTTTTACTTTTTGTTTTATACTTATTAAATTTAAAATTAAAATTTTTAATAAATTTATTTTATCACCCATCAAAATAATCCATATTTAATTTGAAGGGTCCAAAAATTAATATTATATTTTTATAAATTGATTATTCAGGTTTTGTAATATTTCACTCTACTAAACACAAATCAAAGGATTAACTCAAAAAGTAATTATCAAGTTTTAGTTCAAATTTAAGGGATCTCAATTTTTCTTGATCAAAATGAGTTTAAAACAATCATAAACTCATATGTCAAAGTAAAAATAAGTTGCAGAAAAATGAAATACCTTCAAGGAGTGAAAAAAATCAAAAATGGTTGAAAAACAACTTGTATGCTGTGAAACATGGCAATACACCGCGGCATGTTGCTCACTGTGCCACGCGCCGCGGTGTGTTGCACGAAAATATTAACAAATTATGCTATCATTTGATGACAGAATCGGGGAATTTTTGATGACTCTCGATTCTCTATCCGACGTCCAAATGATGTGATTTAGATGTCTACAAAAACCACTTTCATAAACTAATTAATGACACAAGTTTCGTTTTTAAAATAAGTCACACTAAGAAGTTGGACATTCAAACATATTTTTATCACTTTTCATAACTTTTTATAACAAAAGGTGTCCAAAACTCAAAACATGTACCAAAAGCTGGACTATGTCCATTAAACCTAAGATTGTCAGTACAACATGCCACATGTACTTAAAACATAAGTATAGCATAAAATCACTTTTCAATACCTTTTTTTTTCAAAAAACAAAAGAGGGAGGCAAATTTTTATTTCATTGCATCCTAACCAATTAAAACATGTTCAAAACATCATTTATACACTTGTACTAGTATTTTGACCCTATCAACATATATATAATTATACACAAATACTCAAGGCCTAAAATACAA